ATATAATGAACCATGGTATATAATGAACCATGGTATATAATGAACCATGGTATATAATGAACCATGGTATATAATGAACCATGGTATATTAATGAACCATGGTATATAATGAACCATGGTATAAAATGAACCATAGTATATAATGAACCATGGTATATAATGAACTATGGTTCTGTGCAACAGGAGAGTTACTTTGTAATGTTTCCATAATATTTTAGTTCAAGTTGCAATATTTAAAGTTTTACAGACATATTAACTTTAAACAGGGTTATTTCACTATAATTCTGCTAACAACTAAAGCTGTTAATAATAAACACAGATTGGAGAAGTGACTGACGCCACGCGCTGCTTGTTGTCAACAGTTCAGTAACTAGCCAGAAGCTAACAAGCTAAGCTCACCTGATCTCTTCGGCTGAGTACATGCCAAAAGACATGCCCTCTAAGCGCCGCCATGGCACTTCTTTATCAAACAGCATTGTTTTAGTCAAACAGCTGAAACTTCACTCTGCTTGTGTTAAAAATCCATGGCGCTCCGTCCGCCTCGCGACTCGCAGATTCACGTGCACGTGGGACCATTAGACCATCGCTCTGAGCAGAGGGGGAGCCCACAAAACAAAAAACCTCTTCTTTACTCAGACCTGCTCCATATTAAATTAATTTATAATATAATATATCAGAAGGTACATAAATATAAATGTTTACTCCAATCGGTGTATTTTACAGAGTTAAACTCGTCGTTATGATTCCATCCCCCCCTGCTGCAGCTGTAATGGTTCGGCCCTCCCACAATCCTTCACTTTGAAACAAGATGGCGGCGTCCTGTATGCACATAGGACGTTATATCCGCAGAAATGAACGTTTTCTGAGGCTTCAGTTCGAGCAATTCTTGTCCATCAGGTACGATAAGCTGCTGGTTAGTTGTGTTACATGGTGATGTTGTTACTTTTTAAAATAAATTGTGTTGTTGTAGCTGCAGCTGCTCTGACAGCAGGTCACGATGTGCCCGTCTGAAAACCATCAAATGTCTCAAATGTGTTCAAATTAAACCACTGTTCATGGAGCAAAACAAATATATGCATAACTTTAATGATCAAAGTCGACATTGTTGAGCTGCTGTACTGAGAAAAGAGATATTTAATTTAATTTGACACGGTCTGCCAACACATTTATACATCTTCCATGCAAATATGCTTTTATCAGGTTTATTTGATTAAAGTAAACTAATGTTTCTGTCTGTAGGAGTTTTGCTTTGACTCCAGCTGTTCATCAAGCTGCTCAAGTTCATCAAGGTAAAAGAAAATAAGACTTTTATTAGTATTTAAACAGGTTGTTAAATAATACTGTGACAAATCAGTTTATAATATAATCATTAATGACTTCATGTCTGCAGCTACCAATGGAAATGTTTTATTTATATTATCTGGGAATGTGGAATAATAAATCTAAAGTGTTTGGTTTACATTTGTAAACAATGTTAGTTGTTTTGTTGCAGTGATAAATGAAGGCTTGTTAAATTTGTAAATGTTTGAAAACAGTGAAGTTAAGAGGAGCACTGACTTTATTTCTCTTTTCTTGGAGCTGTAGCTCGTTAACAAACATCAAATGTAAATATCAGAGTGTATAAAGCTCGTTAACAAACATCAAATGTAAATATCAGAGTGTATAAAGCTCGTTAACA